ATACTGCCCTAAACTGAATTTTGGCACCTAAGTGTCCTGGCAATACACACCTATTGATCATCATTTCTCTTACTTTAAAAGCCCACGTCTCCTGTTTGCTACGCCTTCAGGAACGCTGCAGATGGGCCTGCAGCACTTGCTGGCCCGGTCCCCATCTATGTCTCCCTCTCCTTGGTGACACCTGAAGAGGTTCAACAGTTCGTAGGTGGAGCAATTAAAATAAAAGAAACAAACACAGAGAAAACAAAAAAAAATGCCCTGAGATTCATAATTAAAGGGTTGCTTAAAGAAGGAGGGATAATGCAAGGGAGCAAGAAGCAAAGATTAGCCAAAATGCAGAAAGCACAGGAAAATAGCAGAAAAAAATCCCGAGTCCAAGAATTAATACCCTTAGCTTCACTGTCCATAGCTAATAAACAATTATTGGAGTCTCCCCTGCTTGTGTCTCTCTGGAATTATGCAGCAGTTTGTAATGCTAAAACAAAACAATTAACTCCAGTCCAAATAAAAATATCTTTCAGCCAACAAAAGGAAAAAACCCTCAAAATGTCATTTTGGGTAAAATGCTCCATTCAGTCCAACACAAAATCCTTCATCTCATTTTCAGATTATCGATCTTTTTTCTAAACCTCTTTTCCTCTTGCATTGGTAGGTCAATATTTAAATAAAGAAATGCCTTTTTGAAAGGAAAGCAAAACAATGAACAAGCTTTGTCTGCAAACCACTGGAATAAACTAGCTGAGCATTTCCTATTTCCGTATCATTAATAAATAAAAAGGGGAAAATCAGAAAGATTTTAAATTTCAGAACTTCTCCTTTCCCATTTTGGGGCTATTAGGGTTTGCTGGATCCCACTGAACCAGTAAATTATGTCAGTTCTCTTCCATTTTATGATATATTCACTATTTGTCAAGAGATTTTCCCACTGCTGCTCCAGGCAGCCTCTGGCCAGCAGCAGGCAGGACTGCCTGGACCTGCCACTCGCCAGCACCTTTCTCGCCAACAGCTGATGCACAGTCCTAGTCCAATTCCTTCTTTAAAGGCCACAAAAGCTGGGAGAAAGAGGTGAGGAGGGATGCTATGAATACATCACCTCATCAGAACAGCAGAAATCAAATCTTCCTTTAAAAGCATTAGAGTCCTCAGTGAAAGAACTATGGTGTTAAAAACAAAAAAAAACCAAAACAAAACAACAACAAAAAAACCCCACAAAACAGTATTTTAAGGGCATGAGAATATTTCATGCCAAGAAAAGGCAGAATGTCAGGATGTTCCCAAAATTATATAAATGCCTCCTCGATCTCATTCCCAGCACCCAGAGTCCCCAGGAACGGCACTGAGCCTGTAACCACAGCAATCTGCTCTGCCACGCAGGTCTCCACGATGCTGAGCCGTCAGGTAGCATGAGATGAAGCCTTTAACGGAAATGTACTCAACACAGAGACTGGTGGCACTGGTTACAGTGGAAAATGCCACTGCTGGCCATTCTAAGCATTTTTTCCCTCTGCTTCTAAAAACTGTAATGTACTTTCAATATTAACAATTTCTGTTTTAACTGAAGGGCAAGGCTTTTAAAAATAACATTTCCCTGGGAAAAAAAATGAGCGCTGTCAACCACAGCCAGCAACCTCTCATACAAAGAAATGCTCCCTGTGCCAAGCACAGTGTTGCTATTGATGCTTGTATGGCACTGCATCCCACCTTGATGCTCTCAGTCTGTATGGAAACAGCTTGACAAGTAACAGAAAACAAAACAGTGACTGAAGCTCCCAAAGAAGCAAGCCGGGTTCTGGGCTGGTTGTTGTTACCTGTCCTAGTGAGGGTAAAACCATGTTGTGCACGCAGAGATCACACCTCTGAGGCACAAACAGAACTGAAGTTTTTAGTATTATTTTTCCTCCTGTTCTTTGGCATGGTTGACCAGGACAAGGGCACGTCAGATTGGGTATCTCAAGATACCCGAACTCTTCACTGGCCTGCCTTGTGGACGCTGTACCGAGCTGAGGAGGTCTAGAGGGAGATAAGGCTGTTGGGGCAGCACCAAACCACGACTGGGGCTTGCTGCAGAGCAGCGTGCTGCAGCACCTGGCATCTCCCCGGCCCCGGGCTTAGACGGCACAACAGCTAACTGCACAAACAGGCACACAAAGCAAGAGTGCCCAGAGCTGTACCCGAAATGTTCAGCTAGACTCTGCTAAGGGAGCCCAGGAGGACCAGGAACATTACACTGACTATTAAGCACAAGGTGGGAAGTCTGAGGCTGAACAGAGAGCAGAGATGAGGCAGCACTCCCTCAGAGACACCGTGATGTTCTGGGGCTTTCATGTCAGAGTAGTTTTTGTAACACACATATATATATACAAGTGAGATACAAAGCTAACTAGACATACAACAGGGCTCTGCCGTAGCAAGACTACAGCTGATAGTCTTGTACAGCATGTGATACCTGCTGTACCATTTTGGATTCAAGGCAGGGAATATGGACATAGTACATTTATCTAAAGGCTTCCAGGGGCTCCAAACATTAGCATTATCTTTAGTAAGGATGGCAGTAATATTTAAAAATTTTAACTTGTCCTAGGACAAACCTGACAGCAGCTCTACAGTGTAAGCAATTCTCTCCCCCAAGTGCATGGGGGGTGGGACGGGGAACCAGCAGAACTCAGCCCGTTTTTCTGCTTCAGAACGACCCCGAGGCGCAATTCAGGATTTATACATCTGACATCCCCCCCAGTTTTAAAGGCATGATAGAGTCCACTCTGATTTATCCAGAGGGAAACATGACATCCTAAAGAATAGCGCAAGAAAACCTTCAGCTACTCTTGAAAGTTGAACAGAGCAGTAGCTGTGGCTTTGTTTTGTTGCTATCTAAGTAGTATGGTCATCACCATGTGTAGAACAAAATACTGACAGAGCAGCAAATAGGTACTGGGACTTGTCTTCCTGATAACTGAACACAGTGCCATGGGGCTACACCACACTACTCACTCATGATGCAAAAAACTATCATCACCACGCTTTGACATTGCCATAAAGATACCCATTTGCACGTCATCTCACCTTGTGGTATTCCACGAGGGTTTCTCAGATCAGCAGTTAAACATGGGCAGAGTAGGGCTGCACAGTCCTTTGGGCTGCTCTTGTTCACTGAGGATTTCTTTCATAGCCCCTTGAGCATTAAGCTTAGATAAGTGATGGCTAAGCAAGAGACCAATCCCTCCCTGGTTTCACAGCTGAGCAAAGACACTTGCTCCTTGATGCCGGGATTCAGGAGCCCCTGGTTTGTATTGAGAGAGCTGTGTTTCCCCCCCATGCTGACAGCAGGAATGAAGGTGAATTTGAAAAGCTAGACAACAACCTCTTGTGCTACATTATTTGTTTTAAAAGAGTGGACATGTCACTCCTTGTATATTTGAAAAACATTTAGCAAAAAGGGACAGATCTGTAGGTATGAGTTCCAACTAAATATCATATAGCGGTAATAATAATAAAGTATTGCATTATTTATTATGGCAATTGTATAAATTAAACGCATGGTGTTTCAGTGCATGGGCAAACAACCTCTGGGACCACTTCTAAGGAATCCCACAAGAAGTAAGAAAGGAAAGAAAGGGCATATGTGTTCTATAGCAGTCAACACACTTGTCATTCCCAAATGGGTCTACATTGTGTATTAGATACAATTTTCAACGCTCAGCAAGAAGTAAACCCCTACTGACTTAGGCATTGATATTACTGACTGCAAGGCAGTAACACCTACAAAGGAGATCATAATTTCCTACATCTTAATAGTTTTCTTAATCCATTTCTATAAAGCTTTAAGTAGCCACTTCTCAGTCACAGGGATGAACATGAGTGGTTACTGCAGCTGAGAGAAAAAGTTTTATGGGAAGGAAGTTAGCTGATTATCAATGGTCCTTTCAGTCCTAATAAGCCGGCAAGAACTGGTTTCCTCTTCCCATCTCAGGGTGAGTTCCAGAAGACCACACATTCAAACCAACACAAGTGAAATGCTGGCACAACCAAGAGAGTAAATCACAGCACTGAGAGGTCAAACTACAAAGGGGATTTCTTTTCCTCCGTGGAGACCATTAGCTATATCATGTTAGTCGCCAGCCTAGGTCATCAATTCACCTTCATCATATTAGTCACATGCATCTGTCAACAGCTGAGCACAGCTCTTGCGGTGAACACACTGCAGGGTAATTGAGAGAGAAGTGCTCATAATTCAAAAGGCGCGTTCAGTATGTTCAGGCTCTCTAGTTCAAAGAGCATAGAGACTTTCCTCTTTACTGTGGCCCTGCAAATTTCAACTGATCTGAAACCAACTTGCATTTTCTGAATGTTGCTGCTGAGTCTGAACTTCAGTGAAAAATCCATTTGCTAGAAATGAAAGTTGCCAATTAAAATCAGTCTGTTTATGTTGCTTTGGGGAGCTGAGGGGGGGAGAGAGAGAGAGAGAAAAGAAAAGCCAAATAACTCATTAAGTGATCTATATTGTGCCAGTACAGTTGGCAATTATAATTATCCTAATAAGACTTTCCCACTTATATAAGCCCTTCCATTCAGGGATCTCAAAACACTTTGCAACCATTAATGATGTTAGCTTCATAACATTCTTGACCTCGTTTACAGGGGAGGGAATTGAGGAAAAGAGAGAAAACACCACCATTTTCTCTAACAGATAGCTTTCATTTTCTAACTGCCTGTAAAGTTTATGCCTGAAACCAAATCACACTTAAAAATCAGGGTCAGTTCTGAGCTCTTGAGCCAGTAGTAGTCCTTCAGTCACGGTGCAAGTGCAAAAAAAAAAAAAAAAAACAAACCCTAAAAACATTAGTGAGAATTGCGTGAGTAGGGAAGGCCTATCTGCAAACCTTGCAAAGAGCCTCAGGTCACTGAAATTTGTCATCCTGGAAATGTGGCAGACTCAAGGAGAGAGCTTCTGCTTCAGATCCTCACACAAAACCATCCCTCCCCCTACCTCAAACGGTACTCACATGTGGGATGGGCATCATCCGTGTCCACTTCTCAAAATCCACAGCTCTTGGTTTTGGCTCCTTCTCCGGAAGGAAAAATTAAACAGAAGCAACATGAAATCCTGGGAAAAGAAAAAAAAAAAAAAAAACTGGAATGAATAGTTGGACACATTGCATGTATGCACCTAGGAGAAAGCAGGACTTGAGCAGCAGCCACCATGGATTTCTCAAGAACAAATTGTGCCAAACCAAAATAATTTTTTTTCCTGTGAGAGGGTGATAGGTTTTGTAGGTAGAAGAACAGCAGCAGATGTCACATATCCTGACTTCAGACATTATTTTTTATAGCAGTCTCACAGCTGAATAAGGAAACAAGGGAATTTCACATTGCAGGGAGAATGCAAAAGTACTTGGATAGCAGTCATCAATGTTTCAGCATCAAAACAGCAGCATGGACCCATACGTTCCACGGGGAGCTGCCCTGGGTCTAAGACTATTCAACACTTCCACTAATGATCTGGGTGATAAAACAGAGAGCGTGCATATTAAGTCTGCAGATGATGCCAATCAAGGAACAGCAACACATCCTTTGGAGAACAGATCTGGAATTGAAAATTATTTGAGAAATGAGAGCTCTAGCTCCAACTTCCAGAATGCTCTTTAACAGGACTGAGGGCTCATTTTGCCTGGGAGATACATGAAACAATCTTCCTATTCTCTTCAGCAGGGAGAAGGCCTTGGTGAAGCACCACATTTGGGCTCTGCGTTTCTAGAAATTAAGATGTTATCTGGGAAGAGTTTAGACTGGAGCACTGAACAGGATCAGATGTCCCGAAAACAAAATTTATGTGTAAAGGATTGCAAGAACTTGAGTAATTTACCCTAAAAGGGTAAAACTGAGACAGGACTCAGTAACAGCCTTCAGCTATGGTAAAAATTCTGTTGTCTAATTCTGTGATGGATAGGATAAGGCCTTTCAAAGGTGGGTTCAGAATGGACGCAAGAGGCTCTTGCATTGGACTAACAAGGTAACTATTAACACAACAACCCATTCCCCGCTGAGCTCCCTGGGGAGAGTCTAAGTTTTCCTCCATGGACTATACAGGACACCTTGTCAGATTAGCCTTTTTAAGCTAAAGTTGGCCTTTAGAAATAATTCACCTGTGTTATATCAGTAAGACCATTGGGGTTGATGTCAGAGGAAAAAAAGCCATCAGGCTTGTGCAGTAATTTGGGACCAGAAGAAGTTCAAAAAGAAGGGAGAATTGCAGCTTCCATATGGGAGATGGAAGGAGAATCCAGACAACAGAGAGCAGGGGGATGGGGTCAGTTGTTATATGCCAGAAATCTCAAATCCATAATGTGCCATGTTTGCTAACTGTTGTTTTATTTAAAACCAGTTGCCAGGCACGTCACAGGAAGCTGGGCACCTGTTGAGTGCACTGGGGACAGGGACACAAAGATGACACAAATAGCAAAACGAGCTGTCCTGTCCAGTCAGTGTGCAAAGCCCCAGGAACAGAACTGCTACCATCCCGCATTGCAAACTGCTGCACTCCTTTCTGCTGTGCCATGGAAGAAGCTGAGGCAGGGCATGGCTTAGTCCTTCCATCACCATTAATTTGAAGTCTACAAAAATGCGTTTACATTGGCAGCCCAAAGTTTAGAGCTTAACAGAATAGGGATGTTACTTTTAAGGCAGGGATGAGCTTGTTTGGGTTTCTAAAACTTTCTTCTGCAAAAGTAAAATAATTTTATCAATGCGAGGCACTCATGAATCTGCTAGAGAGAAGGCCCATCCCACAAATTCTCCTTTGCATGGCTCTTCTTCACCCAGTAACAGTCTTTGAAAAATGAAATTAACTTTCTTGCTTACATCGTTGGAATTCACATCACAACCAGATAGCCAAATAATGTTAGTACTCATTTTAATTCTGAAAAGCATAGAAAAAAGGGGAAATTTTCTCATTATTAATGGAAGAAAAAACCTATTTAGCATATCTAAATGAAAAGTGTAAGATCTATAACCCGTACAATAGCAATCATGAAAAAGCTACAAGATGGGATTATTCTCTCAGGGCCTTTATCAAGGTAGTTATCATAAGTTAAATGTGAAATCCACCCAGAAATCACTCAGAGAATTCAGTATTCACATACTTCTCTACTGTAAATAATCCCCCACGCAACAGTAAAAGTTTTCTGGTTACGACTCCATAATTCAGGTTGTGTCAGCAATTAGAACTCGGAGTTATAGCAGTGTGCTACATTTTTTTAAGAGTTAGAGGAAGCTGTGGATTGCAGGCAGCCAGGCTGCTGCCTGATTTGCCAGTGAGGCTGCAGTAGAGGACAGCACAGAAAGGGAGCGGCAGCACTGGCCTCCTGGACTGACGGACACCCGGGGAAGGGGACGTGGACCACTCACACTCACGCTTAGTGCCTCCTCAGCTGCAGGAGGTTCCTACTGACCTCAAATGAAATAAAGGCATGAAGCTGCTTCCCACATGGAAAACACTGCTGTACACTTCAGGAGAATTAAAATTAAGACTTCCTCATGCAAGTTTAAAAGTAGCGAAGTCTGTCCCACAGTAACACCTCTGTCAGAGGGAGATAGGTAGCATCAGGTATTTTATTATTTCTGTTTCAAAAGTTCTCCTAATTAGGTATTACAAAGTGTTTTTCATTGTGGAGAAGCCATTTTAATTACTCCTAACACACACTGGGGGGAATTACTGCTGTGCAGAGAGCAGGTTGGCATTCTCCTGCTTCATACCCACGAAAGGAGAAGAACAATGTGCCATGTTGCTAAAAATACGTTGTGATATTTATCAGCTGGTCTTTTAGAAATAAGAGATGGCCCTCATGAGGTCCATTGAACTCCATACTTCAAAACAAGCCCCTTCCTCTATTTAGCTCTTGCAGTGCTGGCTTGTGCTGATGGTAAATCAGTATCTTCAGGAAGCAGCATGCAGCACAAGAAGGAACAGCAGCAAATTTTCATTCATTCTCTGTCTTGTACTCATAGCAATTTTGCCATGCTCCAGGACTCTGGGTCTCTGAAGGGAACATGCTGGGGAATAAAGTGAGCAACTGTATATGATCTAAAATTTGTCTGACCCCTCCATGTCCAGCACTAATCTGTATTTCTTAAGAGACGAATTTTGAAGGCGACATATTTTTGTGCGCCCAAATTTTAATCAATCTGGCCATTTTGAAGTCATAGAAGTGGAGAAAAAGCACTTTTAAGATGTACTTTGAAAATCATATGAAAGGTAGGCCTCCACAAAGACAAGTTCAAGCCTTCTCTCAATGGAGCCAGAGGTAAAACCCAGTAAATAAGAATATCTGAATAGGAACAGACTTGAGCGCTAACTCCAAAGGTGGCACCATATACAGGGACTGTCCTTCAGAGTTTGTTCATCGCATTAGCAGACAACACAACACGAGTGTAGTAGGAGAGATGCAGTGATACCCTTGGACAGGTTTGTGGGGTGCTGGCAATGCAGAACACCTGTAAGGTTCAGCTTTGGTCTACAGGACAAACTGAAGTTGTTTCAATCATTTAATGCCATAAATTTACCAAAGGAAGCGGAAGAGTGGAAAATGGAAGAGAGAGTGTCGGGCAGATTACACATGTCTATTTTCTGAAGTCTGACACCAGAAGTCTGCATTAAATAAATGTTTCTTTCTATATTCATTAACACAATTGCTATTTTCATCACAAAAATGACATGAATTTGTTACTACTGCACAGTGTCTGTATATATTCTCATGAAGTGATTTTATGCATTGTTACTTGTAACTAAATTAGCAATAACAGGTAGATGAAATCCCAGAACTTGTTACAATAACCCTGTTTGGAGTAAATGCTGATATCCTTCTCTAAAGATATTCTTGGATGTAGTGAGGCCGAACTCCTTCTCCAACCATGTTTGTGGTTGTCATTAATTAGACGCTTCTACAGGACCAGAGGTGGCCGAAGCCAGAAGGGACAAGGGTTCAGGCGGAAGCTAGCCAGGTAAAATATGTGTTGCATAGTTTACTTTAAGTCTGTTTAGCCTGTTGTCTTGGGAAACATAAACTTTGGTAAGAAAGCCACAACTAAAACCTAAAAGCTTAAGCAAATCTTTCTGGTCTCTATCCAAACACTCAGGGAGAACATTCCAGTTACCAGCAATTCCTTAACCTAGCACACAAAGACATAAAAAGACCAATGGCCAGGAGATAAGGCTGCATAAATTCAGGCCACATTAAATAGTATTTTCTTACAATAGTGAGGAGTAATTAACCACTGAAACAATTGGCCTAGGGACTTGATATAGGCACCTGATGTCTTTAAAACTAGGCAGGACATCTGCCTTTTAAAAGTTCTGTGGTAACTCAAAAAAGGTTATCAGCTTAACACAGGAATAAGCACAGGACAAAATATTGTGGGTTGTTTTATTCATGACATCAGTCTAAACCCACAGGGCACCATTGTTACGAGCTGTAATGTATGAGACTGTATGAAGTTCTTTGGTTCTCCTGCAACTGGTCCTCCTCTAGCAACATATTAAATGTGTTGAATATTTATTTAAAAGGTCTCAGATTTTCTGAAAAAAAACAAACCGTCCCCATTGCATATCCACAGCTGATTTTACAAACCACAAGGCCAGGTCCCCAGCTAGAATAAATAAATCAGTGCAGTTCCACTGCAGCGAGTGGAGTTTGATCAGTTGTCATGAGATAAAAAATCTGAGTACCTTATCACAGGCACCTATATATTTACCAGTTTTCCCACATTACTCACCTAAATCTCCCCTTGATTTCCATCTAAGACTAATGGCTGTGAACAGACATCTCTGCATCTTCAGCACTGTGTTCTGGATTTTCTCTAGCATTTCCTTGATAATTCTGTTTATTCAAATTTTGTCATGTGTACACCTTGTTTTCAGCATGCTTTGTCAGTGCTTAAAGGGAATAATCACACCTAGAGCTAATCAGCAAATAAATAGACTCAGTGAGGTTATGGCAACAGGATAAAAAGGATTAGCACTTCAGGAGGACAGAACGAATACAGATGGGCACTCAATGGGCAGGTTTCGCTATCAGGCCAAG